TCCGCGACCGGCTCAACGCGACGAAGGAGGTCGCGCGGCAGGTGCCGTGCTGCCCGGCGGACCGCCGCGGCGGACTTTAGACGGAATCGACCTTAGGCTCGCGCGGGAAGGGTTTCCGTCGTCGGGGGGGGGGCAGCTTCGGGGGGTCTTGGCGGGCAAAGGACGCGCGTCGGCGTCGGCGTTGCGCGGTCCGTGCCCGGCGGCTCGCGCCTAGTAGTCGGCGTCCTGCCAGAAGCGCGGCGGCGCGGCCCACGGCGGCGGGCCGCCGTAGGCGTGGAAGGGCGGCGGCGGGCCGAAGCGCGGGTCCGGCTCGTAGGCGCGCCACGCCGGGTCGCGGTTCCAGCCGTGCGGCACGCGGAACGCGTCCTCCGGGACGCCGCGCTTCGCGGCCTGCTTCTCGGCCTTGACGGCCTGCTTGACGGCCTGCTTCGCCGCCTGCTTCGCGGCCTTCTCCTCGGCGGCGCGCGCCTTCTCCGCGCGCTTCGCCGCCTTGGCGCGCGCGTCGTCCTGCTTGGCGAGCTGCTTGACGGCCTTGTCCTCCTGCTTCGCGATCTTTTCTTCCTGCTTCGCGATCTTTTCTTCCTGCTTCGCGGCCTTCTCCTCCTGCTTCGCGGCCTTCTCCTCCTGCTTCGCGGCCTTCTCCTCCTGCTTCGCGGCCTTCTCCTCCTGCTTCGCCGCCTTCTCCTCCTGCTTCGCGGCCTTCTTCTCGGCCTTCTCCTCCCGCGTCTCCTCCCGCTCGGCCAGTTTCTTCTCCTCCCGCTCGGCGAGCTTCGCCGCCTCCCGCGCGGCGGCCTTGTCGTCCCGGGGCGGCTTGAGCTTGCCGCACTTGCCGCAGCGCGGCGGCTTCGCGCCGAGCCGCGCGCAGACCGCCGCGACGTCCGCGGGCGCGCCGCGGCGCGGCCCCGCGCACCAGCGGCCCGGGCGGTAGGCGCCGGAGCCCGCGTAGGCCGCGCGCGCGGCGCCGAGGTCGGCGACGAGGCCGAGCTTGACGAAGCGGCGCGGCGGCACGTTGATGGCCTCGACGAAGGCGTGGATCGCCGCGCCGGCGAGCCCGACGCCGCGGGCCCGGAGCGCCGCGACGACGGCGTCGTCGTCGTCCTTGGTCTCCTCGGCGCCGCAGAACGCCGGCGGCGCGGGCGCGGCGCCGCCGACGAGGCCGCAGCGCGCGACGCGCCGGCACGGCAGCTCGAGGGCCGCGAGGATCGCCCCGAGGTCGGCGGCGCCGGCCGGGTGGCCGCGCGCGGCCATGGCCAGGGACGCGGCGTCGAGGAGCGCCGCGTCCGCCGCGGGGGCCGCCGGCGCGGCGCCCTCCCCCTTCTTCGGCGGCCGCAGCCTCCTCCCCTTCTTCGGCCGCGCCGTCTTCTTCTTCGACGGCCGGGACCTCTTCTTCGTCGGCCGCGCCGTCGTCTTCTTCGGCGGCGACCTCGTCCTGGGGCTCCGCCTCGTCTTCGTCGGCCGCGCCGTCCTCGTCGACGGCGACCTCGTCCCGGAGCTCCTCGTCGCCGTCCTCGAGCGCCTCGACGCGGACGAAGGCCTCGTCGTCGTCGTCGTCGTCGTCATCGCCGTCGTCGGCGTCGACGCGCACGAGCTCCGCGGGCGTGGAGTCGACGACGGCCGCCCAGGCACCGGGCGCCGTGGGCTCGTAGACCGACGCCTCGCTGCCGAGGTCGTCGTCGCCCGCCGCGGCGGCCGCGACGACCGTGAGCGGCGCGTCGGCCGCTCGCGCGGCGAGGACGACGTCGCCGTCGTCGACGAGCGCGAGGACGTCGGCGTCGCCGGCCTTGAGCGCGTAGGACAGCGCGCCGGCGCCCGCCGCGGCGCCGTAGTAGGCCGCGACGGTCCGGCGGAGGCTGTCGATGGTCGGCTCCACCTCGGCGAGGCGCTTCGTGCCTTGGAACTGGAGCTTCACGAGGATGGTCGACATGGCTGCGGTGCGCTCGGTGTTCTCTAGGGGCTAGAAGGTGCACGAGGATACCTGCGGGCGGGCGCAGCGGTGGCGGCGCGCGAGTGCGGAGGCATGCGGACGCACCTCTGTTTGCTTTGGCTTGTTCGGGAGCGAAAGCACGCGCGGAGAGGCTGCCCCGATCAAGCTTCGGATTTTACGATGCAATGAAAACCTCAACATCTGCTCGCTCGCTCCGCGAAGTGCTCCGCGTCGTGACCGGCGGCTCGGCTTTAGCTCGCGCGGCCCGGGGTCGCGCTAGCTCGGCCCGCCCGGGGACCACAGGTCCGGCCGGTCGCCGACCTCGACGGCGACGCCGACGGAGTCCGCGAGGTTGACGATGGCGTGGGCCCAGCCCGTCGGGATGAAGAGGGCGTGGCCGGACCGGAGCACGCAGAGCTTCGGCGTCGCGCGGGGCCCCGCGGCGACGTCGACGGCGCTCGCGTTCGCCGGCGGCCGCTCCGGGAAGAGCCGCGCGACGGCCTCGGGCCGCGCGGCCGCGAGGTGTTCGAGCGCGGAGCCGCGGCCGTCCCTCCGGAACGACCCCGTGAGCGGCGGGAGCAGCGCGAAGAGCTTGGCGCCGAAGAAGAGCGCGTTGTAGGCGTTCGCGTGCTCGTGCGCGTTCGTCTCCGAGCCGCAGCCCCCGAGGTAGAAGAGCGCGGACCGCCGGCGCGCCTCCGCGTCGCGCGAGAACCGCGCGGCGTCGTCGAAGTAGGCCGCCGCGCCGGACTCCATAGCGAGGTCCACGCCGTCGAAGGGGTCCGCCGCGAAGACGTACCCGCCGCCGGCGAGCGGTTGGGCGGCGACGACGTCCGCGAGCGTCTCGCGGCCCGGCGGCGCCTCGCGCGCCCCGCCGCGGCGCCGCACGAGCGCGCCCGGCGACGTCTCGACGGGGACGACGCGGTCGCCGAGGCGGTCGACGAGTGCGGCCCGCGTCCAGGCGTCGGCCGCGCCGGCCGCGAGGGGGAAGACGACGGGCCGGCCGCCGTCGACCTGTGTGGATTCCAAACCTTCAACCCGACTTCAATGTGCGCGTATGCGACCGTTTCGACGCGAGGCTTTCTGCCGTGCTTCGAGAACTCGACGAGAGCAATCGATCCGTCCAAAAATCAGCCGAATCGACTTCGATTTGACCGAGCTAGAGAATTCTGAAGTTTGGTGGGGACCCCCCAAACCAGTGGTTGATTTCCACACAGCCGTCGACGTAGTCGGCGCGGAAGGCCTCGGCCGTCAGCGACGCGCGGACGTCGACCTCGCAGAGGCGGGGCACGCCGGCCGTCGACCCCCAGCCGCCGTCGCTAGCGACGATTTGGTCGTCCTCGGCCGCCGCCGCGCGACCAACCTCGCGCGCGCCCGCGCGGCCCGCGGCGGCGACGCGGGCCCGCCAGCAGCCGCGGCGCGCGGCGCACGCGTCGAGGGCGCCGGCCCATGTCGCGTCGTCGTCGGTCGCGCGCGCGGAAGCGAGCGCCGCGAGCTCGGACCAGCGTTGCGCCGTCGCGGGGTTCGACGCGGCCGCCGCGCGCGCCTCCGCGGACGCGATCAGCCCGGCCGCCTCGGGCGAGGCGAGCGCGTCGCGGCGCACGAGGACGTCGAGCAGCTTGTACTCCGCGGCCTCGACGACCGTCGCGGAGAAGCCGCGCCGGGGAGCTTGCGGCGGTGCTTCCTGAGCACCCTGCGGTAGATCCGCGCGGCGCCCGCGGCGTCGAGCTCGACCTCGTCGAGGCGCCTCGCGGCGCTCATCTTCATGAGCGCGGCGGCGTTGCGGCGCCCGGGCCGCGACGCCTTCTTGATGCCGACGAGCGCCGCGACGAGCGCCGCGGCGACGACGGTCCAGAGCGGCGCGCCGAGGAACGTCCGCTTCCGCGCGGGCGGCGGCGCGGCGGGCGGCGCGGCGGCGGGCGGCGCGGCGGCGGGCGGCGCGGCCACCGGCGCGGCGGCCGGCGCGTTCGAGGCCTCCGGCGCCTTGGCGGCGCGCGGCGCATTCGAGGCCTCCGGCGCCTTGGCGGCGCGCGGCGCGTTCGAGGCCTCCGGCGCCTTGGCGGTGCGCGGCGCGTTCGAGGCCTCCGGCGCCTTGGCGGCCGGCTGCCGGCGGCGCGGCGAGCGCGAAGGTTTCGACCCGCCGGACACGATGGGCGTGAGCACGATGGGCTCGGTCGGCGGCGCGTCGAGGCTGTACGCTGGCATTCCCGGCGGCACAGGCACAGCCAGCGGCGCGGCCGGCGCGGCAGCTGCCTTGGCGGCCGGTGGCGACGCAGCCTTGGCGGCGAAGCCCGGCGGCGCCACAGCCTTGGTGGCGAAGCCGGGAGGCGCGGCCGGCGTGGCCGATTGCTTGGGTGACTTTGCAAAGCCTGGCGGCGCCGCAGCGGGCATCGTCGCGGCCGGGACAGGGTCCATCGCGAGAGCTAGCCGTTCAAATGCTGCTTGAACTCAAGGTCGCCGCCTCACTCACGACGCGCAGACGATGGGCCCGGCGTCCCAGGGCGAGCCGAGGAGCGTCCAGTTGCCGTGGACGAGGGACGTCGACACCTGCCACGCGGCCGCCGCGTCCTGGCGGACCGCGACCCGCGGCGGCGCGTAGGCGCCGCCGACGCGCGTCGCGACGAGCGCGCCGCCCGCCGGCGCGGGTCCGGCGGCGGCGGGCGGCGGTCGCGTGCCCGGCCCGATGAGGCCCATGGCGAGGTCGCCGGACGCGCGGTCGTACTCGACGTTGTCGACGACGCCGGGCAGCGCCAGGAACGACTCCAGCGTGAGGTTGCCGCGCGGTCCGCGCGCGACGACCCAGAGCCGCGACTCGTAGAGGTCGTTGACCCAGAGGCGCGCGCCGGACGGGTCGATCGCGACGCCGTTGAGGCCGAGGGACCGCTCGGGCAGCGCGGGGCCGCAGGCCGCGGGCAGCCGGCCGTCGGGCCGCGCGTCCGCCTCGTCCCAGGTGCAGCGGAGCAGCGCCTTGTCCCGCGCCGGCGGCCCGAGCTGCGGCCCGAACTGCGTCGCGTAGAGCCTGGGCAGCAAAAGGGTGATTCAACGTCGCTTCAACGTGAGTGTTCCGCGCGCGCGCGTTCCGGAAAAAACATTCACGCTTCGAGACCGTTCCGAGAGATGATCGCTCGTCCAAAAATCAGCCGAAACGAGTGGAAAATGGCCGAGATCGGAGCCTTTGAAGTTGGGAATTTCGCTCTCTTTTGCTGCCCTGCGTAGAGCTCGGCCTCGCCGTCGACGGCGGCGACGTCGTTGAGGAACCAGAGCGCGCCCGCGCCGTAGTAGCGGAAGGCGGCGCTCGTCAGCGCGAAGCGGAAGCGCAGCGACGGCGGATCGCCGTCCGCGACGTCGAAGGCGACGATGGTCTCCTCGGCGTTCTCGTCCGAGTGGCTCACGGCGAAGAGCCGCTTCGTGGCGTTGTCGAGGTGGAGGCCGTGGGGCCGGAAGCCGAAGCCCGCCGGCAGACCGACGAGGGGGCAGGGCGTCGCGGCGGGCGTCGCGGTCAGGAGCGACACGGCGAGGATGAGGCCTGGCTGCTCTCCGGGCACCAAGCCCGACGACTGGAGGGCGAGGCCCGCGCGGAGGAGCGTCGCGTCCTCGGAGCCCCGGAAGGCGCCGATCTCGTGGCACGCGCCCGCGCGGCAGCCCGCGACGCAGGCCGCGAGGGCGACGAGCAGGCGGCGAGAGCAGCCCACCATGCCGCCAGGAAGGCTGTAATCTGAAAGTTCAACGCGACCTTCAACCAAGTGCTCTAGGCGCTGTGTCCCGGCCGCCGCCGCCGGCGCGCAGGGCCGCGGTCGCCTCCTGACTCACGGCGCGAGCCGAGCGGGGCGCCGGGGACTCCCCCAGGACTCGGAGTCGGAGGGGCGCGACGCGCGGCCCGGCGCCCGGCCGACCAGGCGGGCATGTGCGCTACACGAGTCACTCGATCGCGGCCCGCCGCGCCAGCCCGCCTTCGCCCAAGCCCCGCCGCGGCGCGGCGAACGCCGCCTCCCGAGACACGCCCCGGGGGCCGCCCGAGGCCCCGCGCGCCGCGCGACGCTTGCCAGCGCGCCGTTACGCCGACGACACGTGCCTCGCCGCCGGTCGTAGTCCGCGTCGTACATGGCCTGCTGGGCCGCGGCCTTCTCGGCCTCGAGGATCGCGGCGGGGTCGGCGATGCCCGCGGCCTCGAGTTTCGCGAGGATGCCCGCGGCGTCGCCGACGACGCGGGCCTTGTAGGTCGTCGCGTAGGCGGTGAGCGTGCCCTTGCAGGACGCGAGGTTCACGGCGGACTCGCCCTTGCACTCGCCGGAGAGGCCCTTGCCCGCGACGGACGTGCGCCAGCACATGGGCGGCTTGGCGCTGTCGAGGGCGTAGGACGTCTCCGTGACGTAGCCGTCCCAGGACGTGTAGGTCACGGACCCCACGGGGCTGAGCGCGCCGGTCTTCTCCACGGGCATGGTGGAAGGGTGCGGTGCGCGCAAAGCGGACGACGGACACCTTGATCGCCGGAGTCGATCGAGCTCGAGGGCGACGGCAACCTCTCACGAGGTAGCGTCGTATCCGCGGCCCGGCGTGGTGCTGCGAACGTCTCGGGGGCTGCCGCGCTAGCTGTCTGCGGCCCGGCGCGTCGTCCCGGGGCTGCCGCGCTCGCTGTAAAAAGAGGCCCGGCGCGTCGGCCCGGCGCGCTCCCCGCCGCCATGGTCGCCGAGGTCGTCGTCGCGCCGAGCAGCAAGGCCATGCGCAAGCGCCAGGAGGCCCGCGACTACGCCGCGCGGGTGCTGGACCCCGTGCTCGACCCCGCCATCCAGTACCTGCGGATGCAGAAGCCCGGCCCCGCGCGCGTGCTGCCCACGCTTTTGAAATACCTGCAGGCCATGCAGGAGGGCGAGGACCTGGAGCCCGATCGGTCGAAGATGAAGCTGCCGCCCATGCCCGCGGCGCAGTTCCCGACGGACTTCCTCGTGCCGATTCTAGGCGCGCTCGTCAAGGAGATGCCGCCCAAGGAGGAGGTGCTCGGCGCCCTCATCGCCAAGGTCGAGGAGGCCCTGGGCGCGGGGAAGAAGGACGACGAGTGACGAGGGTATCGGCGCCCCCGCGACGGCGCGCGCGCGCGCGCCGCCACCGGGGCTTGTTTCCTAGAAGAACTTCTGAGGGAGGACGTGCTCGAGCACGAAGACGGCCGGGGCGTCTCCTAGAAGAACTTCTTAGGGAGGACGTGCTCGAGCACGAAGACGAGGAGCGTCACGACGATCTCCGCGATGATGAGCCAGATGACGATGATCTCGAGGCGGGACGAGTGCGAGTTCGCGAGCTGCGTGTTGAGGACCTCGAGGAGCTCCTTGAGGATGTCGAGCCGCTTGTTGAGGAGCTCGACGCGGTCCGGCACGTCGAGGTGGTCCCGCAGGGCGATGTAGGCCGGCTCGTGCTGGTCGTCCTCCCAGAGCCAGTTCGGGCTGTCCAGAATCTCCGAGTGGAGGTTCACCTGCGTCGACTCGGTGAAGATCTTGCCGATCATGCGCGAGATCTGCGTCTCCGAGAGGTTCGTGCGCCCCGTCGCCGCGAGCCGCTCGGGGATGGGCCGCACGTCCTCGATGGTCACGTCGACGCGCGCCTCCCAGACGAAGAGCTTCGCCGACTGCGCGAGCGCGTAGGCCAACGTGAACTTCTCGAGCGGGTCGCCGCCGTCGAGGCGGATGACGTCGTTCGCGCAGGACGCGCCGCGCCGCTTGCCCCGGACGCCCGGCGCCTCGGCGACGTAGGTCAGCGTGTCGTGGGCCTCGACGCGCTCCGCGGCGGACGTCGCGCCCGCGCGCACCGCCGGGTCCCCCAACCTGCGCCGAATTCAAATCTTCACCTCGACGAGCGTACGCGACGGTTTCGACGCAACCTCTTCGGCTGTGCTTCGAGAACTCGACGAGAGCACTCGATTCGTCCAAAAATCAGCCGAATCGGCGTCGATTTGACCGAGCTAGAGAAGTTTGGTGGGGATCACCCAGCTCACTGTTTGATTTCCACGCGGCCCCCGGCAGCCCGGACACGAGCTCGCGCTCGACGGCGCGGTCGAAGCCCCAGGTCACGACGCAGCCGAAGCCGAAGACGAAGACGTGGCGCTCCGACGCGCGCCGCGGCGGCGCCGCGGCGCCGTCGCGCTCGCCGTCCGTCGCCTCTTTTTCCGACGCCTCTCCGCCGATGATGCGCTCGCCGCCGGGCGCCTCGACGACCGGCGGCGGCGGCGGCGCGCGGTCGCCCCAGCCCGGGGCCCAGAGCGACGCCCCGGCGGGCCGCGCGTCGCCGGCGGGCGCCGCGTAGGGCCCCCCGGCCGCGTCGCCGCCGCGCCGCTCGGGGCTCCGCGGCGGCGCGGCCGACGCGGACCAGCGGACCGCGCGGCCCGGCGACGCCGCCGCGTCGCGGGCCTCCTCGACGAGCGCGCTGTGCACGGCGCAGTCCAGGGCCGTGTCGACCCAGGGCCCCCGGGGCCGCCGCACGTCGCCGGCCTCGAGCCGCCGCAGCAGCTCGTCGCAGTCGACGCCGTCGCCGAGGCAGTAGACGGACACGCGCCGCACGCTGTCCTCGGCGCGGTCGCTGTTCGACCGCCGCCGCGCGGGCCGCTTCGGGTAGCGGCGCCCGCGCACGGCGCGCGCCAGCGACGGCAGAGGCCGGGGCACGACGGGCCGCCCGCCCTCGAGGTCCTCCGAGTCGCTGCTCCGGTTGTCCTCCTCGCCGGAGGAGAGCAGCCGCGCGCGCATCTCCTGCGAGCCGTCCATAGGGTACTCTTTCGGAGCGCTAGGGCGTGCTCTTCAGGGCGCTTGCTATTCAGAGCGGAGCGCTAGGGCGTGCTCTTCAGGGCGCTTGCTCTTCAGAGCGCGAACATCGTTTGGCTTGTGGCAAATAAAAGTTCAAGCACTGGGCTCGCTAATCAAGGCTGAGCCCCGCCGCGCAGGCTGACTCCGTCGCCGCCGTCGCGCGCGCCTTGGCAGGCAGCGCACGATGACCTTCGGCGCCGTCGGCCCCGCGTTCTACGAGTTCCTCGTCGCCCACGGCGTCGACGACCCCTTCGACACGTGGTTTTTGCTGTACATCGGCTGGTGGGTCCTGTTCCTGCTCTTCTTCTTCGGCCCGCTGTCCTGGGTGGTCCTGCGGCCGCCGCCGACGAGCGCGGCGGCGGCCGTGCCGCCGCCGGCGACGCTGAGCGACGACCAGGCGGCGCGGCTCGAGGCCGCGGCCGGCGGCGCGGCGAAAGTCGAGGGCGTCTTCGCGACGGACGGCAGATGGTTCGAGGTCACGGTGGACTGGGAGGGCGTGCCCCGCGCGCACGCGTCCGGCGCGCGCGCGGCGAAAAAGGAGGAGAAGCTCCGCTTCGTCGCGCGGAAGGCCGTCGAGCTCCGGGAGGCGCTGCCGGCGCCAGGGCAGGAAAAGAGTGCGAAATTCCCAACTTCAAAGGCTCCTATCTCGGCCGTTTTCCACTCGTTTCGGCTGATTTTTGGACGAGCGATCATCTCTTGGAACGGTCTCGAAGCGTGGATGTTTTTTCCGGAACGCGCGCGCGCGGAACACTCACGTTGAAGCGAACTTGAATCACCCTTTTCCTGCCCAGGCCCGCGCCGACGATGGCGCTCGACCGGACGCCCGTCACGGTCCGCGGCCGTGTGGAATTCAAATCTTCAACCCGACTTCAATGTGCGCATATGCGACCGTTTCGACGCAAGCTCTTCGACCGTGCTTCGAGAACTCGACGAGGGCAATCGATGCGTCCAAAAATCAGCCGGATCGACTTCGATGTGACCGAGCTAGAGAATTCTCAAGTTTGGTCAGGACCACCCAAACCAGTGGTTGAATTCCACACAGGTCCGCGGCGTCAACTTCGCGGCGTCGCTGGTGGCCCACGGCGCCGTCGCGTGCTACGTGCCCGGCGCGGGCACCTACGACCCGGGCGCGCCGCCGGGCCGCGAGTGCGTCGGCCGCGACGACGCGGATTTGTTGGTCGCGCACGTCGCGGCGCTGGTCGGCGCGGCCGCGCGCGACGCGACGGAGGAGGACGCGCGCGCGATCTCGGGCGCGCTCCGGCCGACGGTCGACGAGTTCAACGGCCGCGCGACGCTCCACGCCTTCGTCCACGACCAGTTCGCGGAGCACGGCATGCGCAAGTGCTACGGCTCGTGGCTGCTGGGCCGCGCAAAGGACAAGCGGCTCCCGAAGCCGATGATGGAGCGGCCCCAGCTCCGGACCTTCCTCGGCTGGCTCGAGCGGGGCCACTACGACGCCGGCAGGCCGCCCCTCGGGCCGCCGCCGGAGTACGCCGCGTCCCGCGCCGCGGCGCTCGCGGCGGACGCCGGCGCCGCGGACGACGCGACGATCGCGGAGAAGCTCCGCGCGCTCGGCGAGGCCCAAACGTAATCGGAGTGAGGGGCCTATCCGCGCGTCGGCGATGCGCACACGGCGAGAAAAAACACGACGGCCCGTGACGACGTACTACGCGGGATCTCCCCGCGGCCGCAGGACGCCGTCGGCGCCCCAGGCGAGGTCGCTCCGCGCCTCGATGCGCGCCCCCGTGTCCGGGTCGACGAAGGCGAGCGTCGCCGCGTGGAGGCAGAGCCGGTCGAAGCCGGGGCCGTCGCCGCCGTAGAGCGCGTCGCCGCAGATGGGGTGGCCGATGCCCGCGCAGTGCGCGCGGAGCTGGTGGAGCCGGCCCGTGTGGGGCACGAGGTCGAGGCGCGTGGCGCCGGCGAAGCGGCCGCTGACGGCGAAGGACGTCCGCGAGGGCTTCGGCGGCCCGAGGCCCGGCTCCGGCTCCGCGCCGGCGGCGACGACGACCATGCGGCTCGCGGCGCCCTGGCGCCTCGGCGCGTCCCGGCGCGCGAGGGCGAGGTCGATGTCGCCGGCGTCCGCCGCGACGTCGCCGATCACCAGCGCCTCGTAGGCCTTGGCGACCGTCCGCTTCCGCCACTGCGCCGAGAGGTCCGCCGCCGCGCGCGAATTCAGCGCGACGGCGAGGCAGCCCGACGTCGCGTAGTCGAGGCGGTGCACGCTGCAGGCCTCGGCCCACAGAGCGTCGCGCTGCGCGCGCCGCAGCACGCTGTCGGACTCCTCCATGCCCTCGGCCGCCTCCGCGGCGTCGACGGCCGCCTTGAGCGCGCGGTACGCGGCGGACGCGGCCGCCGGGCCGAGGCGCCCGCCCGCGGGGCCCGCCGCGAACTTGACGAACTTGTCGTGGGTCCGCGGCAGGCTGCCCGCGCGGGCCCGGACGGCCGGCGGCAGCGCCTCGCAGCGGGCGGCGACAGCGTTCCACCGCTCGCGCCGCGTGGGCCGCTCGAAGGCCGCGTCCACGGCGGGCGACGGCCCGCCGGCCGCGGCGACGGCGTCGGCGTGCGCCGCGACGAGCGCCGCCGTCGGCCCGAAGGCGGGCACGCTCCGCAGGCCGGAGGGCTTCTCGACGACGACGACGGCGCGCGACATGGCGAGCACGCGCAGCCGCGTCGCGTCGGCGAAGCGCCTCGCGGCGTCGGACGTCGCGCCGTAGTTCACGACGGCGCGACCGCAGCGGAGGACCGCCATGACGGCCGCGAGCAAGCGGCGCCGCATCAACCGCGGGCCTAGGCGGCCAGATAGGCGGCCATGCCGTCGGAGTATTGCCGTCGGGCCCTCGAGTTGAAGGTCAACATCCAGGGAGAGTGGAATGTTTCAAATGTTACTGATATGTGTTGTAAGCAAAGCGCGTGGGCAGTCTGCCCCAGGGTGGGTAGCATTTCTTCTGGACGCATGGCTCGTCGGGCAGCCTACGATTACGTCGTCGTGGGCGGCGGCTTCGCCGGCCTCAACGCCGTCAGCGGGTTGCAGAAATTCCGGCCGGCGGCGTCCATCTTATGTATCGACAAGCACGACGCGGCCGGCGGCAGCTGGAACGATTATTATAGCTTTTGCAAGCTGCACGCCCCCCCCCTGACCTTCGGCATCGCGGGCCACGGCTGGCCGGGCCTCGCGAGCCCGAACCTCCTGGCGACGCGCGACGAGGTGCTGCGCCACTTCCGGAGCTTCGCAGACGGCGCTCCGAACCTCGAATTCCTCGGCGGCGCGTCGTACGAAGGCTGCGCCCGCGGGCCGGACGGCGCGCTCGTCGCGACCCTCGGCGACGGGTCGAGCGTCGCGGCGCGCGAGCAGATCATCCGGGCCACGGGCTACGACTACGAGCGGCACATGCCTTTTCCAGTGTTCCTTCATCCAACATCCCAGTGTTCCGTCGCCAAAGAAAGACAGAACACCAGTGGAAAGCCACCAGCGTTCCTATTAGGCCCGCGCACCTCGACGGCGTCAGCGACGGGACCGCCGCCGAGGTCGAGTGCGCGAACCTGCCCGACGCCGTCGCGGCGCGCGGCGAGGAGACGCTCTACGTCGTCGTCGGCGGCGGCAAGACGGGCGCGGACGCCGTCTGCTTCCTCGGCGAGCACCGGCGGCGCGGCGACGACGTGCTCCTCGTCACGGGATCGTCGAAGGGCTTCTTCGTCCGCGACGAGGTCTTCCCCGACCAGGGCTCCCAGAGCGTGTTCCAGCCCATGATCACGGAGGTCATGCTCGACATGATCGCGGCCTGGGACGGCACGGACGCGAGCGAGCGCGCCATCCTCAACGACATGGTGGCCCGGGGCACGCTCTGCTCCCTCGGCGGTTCCGAGGTCGCGAACACGGGCCTCGGCGTGCTCTCGCGCGCGGAGCAGGCCGCCGTCGAGGCGACGGCGGAGATCGTCGCGAACGACCACTACGTCGGCGTCTCGGAGCGCGGGGCGACGACGGAGGTCCGCCTCGCGTCCGGCGGCGCCGTCGTCACGCGGAAGCGCGTCGTCGTCGTCAACGCGCGGTCCTCGGGGAGCGACCGCGTCCACGCGTACAACTCGGACGTGCACCCGCTGCGGCCCGAGGGCCACCTCGACTTCGGCGCGCTCGCGGGCTTCACGGGGCACACGAACTACCTCTTCTCCGCCGTGCTCGCGAAGCACGGGTCGCCGCGCGTCCTCGAGGGCCTACCGCTCTACGGGCGGCGCACGCGCGCGCGGCCGCGCGAGAACTTCGTCTTCGCCTACCTCGTCAAGGTCTACGCGAACATCACAGCCCTCATGCCCGCGCTCGAGATGAAGCACTACCTCTCCTCCGACTACTCCATCAACGCGACGCGCTGGTACCCGACGGCGCGGCGCCTCTACGGCGTCTACCGGCTCCTCCAGTCGCGGGACGCCGTCGCGGCCATGGCCGACGCGCACCTCCGCCGCCTCGAGCCCGGCGACACCCAGCCCCCCCCGGAGGGCGCGTGAGGCGCACCATATGATGGTTTGATCCCGGCGCTCGGGCTCGGGGCCGGCGCGCAACCGGCGCGAGTGCTCAGGCTCCGAGGCCAGAGCGAGCGGGCGACTCCTGTGGCGATCCCGCGCGCTCCGGGGCGACTTCGAGCGGTCCTCCGCGCGATCCTCCGAGGCGCTCCCGAAGGCTCAAGCAGGACCCGATGGCGTCGCAGGCTGGAGAAGTCCCCAGGTCTCGCCAAAAGACGATTGTGGAGAATTCGGGTCATATAGGACCGGCCGCTGGACGGCCGACGCTGCGCCTCGCGCGCCCGCGCCGCCTCATCGGTCTCGTACCATCTGATCAATGGCGTCAAGCCGCAAACGTGCGAAGCCGTCGAAGCCGTTGACGTCTGTGGCGGTAAAAAAGTGGATAGAAGAGCAGGAAGCGACTGCGAATTTGTGGTTGCTCGTGTCTGAACCGGACGTTTTCGGTAATCAGCAGATTCGGATTCCGGCGCGTCGCGATTTCATCTCCCACTTCTCCGAATTGATTCGTAGCCTGGACGCCGACGATTCTGAGTGCCCCGTTATCGGATTCTACGCGGAGACGGTCGTCGAGTTCTGTCGCGCGTGTATGCCGCACCTGAACGGCTTGCCGCGAGTAGACGAAATTCCGGATCTTTGCAAACTCATCAAACTGGCACACTTCTTGGCTGCGCCGCAACTGACGAATCATTTCATGAATGAGCTGCAAGAGAGGGATATATGGGAGACGAATGAACTTATAGCGTTTTTTGATGTGATGCGACATGTGGGCAAAACCATCTTCTGGAAGAAAGACCTAAAAGATTACACAGATGATTTTGTTTTCGATTACTCTATTGGAACAAGGATATCCGAGCCGGACAAAAGACTGTTGAAAAAACAGTTCCCGAAAGAAGTGCACCAGATGTTCACCCTCCATTTGGAACAAATGAAAGACGAATGTCGATCCGAATGGACGACCGCAGAGTATGAAGACCGTGTTAGGCATTTTGAACAGCTTGCCGAGTGGCTGCTCGAGATGGCTCGTCCGGCATCCACTTCCTGAGCTCGCCTCCTTTTCACACCTTATTCGCGCCGCGCGCGCCCGGGCGCTCGCGCGACGCGCGAGACGAGACCGACGCTGGCCGCGCCAGCCAGCCGAGGGCGTCGTCGCGCGCCGCGTTAATGCAGTAGCGCTTCCGCTCCTATGCCCCGGACGGTCGCGCCTCACTCGTCGGCGCGGACGTTGCCGTCGGACTCCGCAGCGCGGAGCTTCGCGCGCGGCACCGCCGGCCTAGACGAGCTCGATGGCCGCGACGGCGAGCTCGAGGGCCGCAGAGCCCGCCGCGCTCTGCCGGCGGACCTGCGCGCGCGCGGGCCCGGCGAGCCCCGGGCGCCGGCGGTCGCGGCGGAGCGCCGGGTTCTTGAGGAGCGTGTACGCGAGGTGCCACCGCGTCCGCGCGCGGCTGTGCCGCGGCTTGCGCGCGGCGAAGGCCTCCGCGGCGACGTGGAGCGCCGCGTCGTGGTGGCGGCGGTGCGCGTAGACGAGGGACATGAAGGCGACGTGCGACGCGTCGAGGTGCGCGTAGCGCTCCGGGAGCACGCAGACGTCGAGGCTGACGAGGTGGAAGAGGCAGAAGACGACGGACGTCAACACCCGCGACACGAAGAGCGCGGCGCCCACCAGGAGGCCGTAGGCGACGTAGGACGCGTAGGCCACCGCGAAGGCCGCGGGCCGCCTCGCGCGGTAGCCGTCGCTGCAGTAGCCGTGCATGACGAGCGGGTCGACGACGCAGCCCATGAAGGCCGACGCGGCGGCGAAGACGACGAGCGTGAGCCGGTGGTCCCAGAGGACGCCCCGCGGGTACTCGTTGACGCACGCGAAGATGAAGAACACGAGCGCGTTCTCGAGTATGATGTAGCCCAGGGACATGAGGAAGAACTGGGCGCCCACGACCGACGTGTCCCGCGCGAGGACCGCGGCCCGCGAGAGCCGCGGCGGCGGCCGCGGGCCGCCCGCCGCGCCGCGCTCGAGCTTCGCGAGCGCGCGGTCGAACGAGGGAACGACGCCCCACGCGACGCGGAGCATGAGCAGCGACGCGAGCGGCACCGCGACCTTGGCCGACACGTTGAGGTCGCGCTGCACGGTCCGGAGCAGCTTCGCGGCCTCGGGCAGCAGGTCGCCGACGTAGTCCGCGGGGTCGAGCCCGGCGGCCCGGAGCTCCGCCTCGACGTCGTCGACGCTGTCCGCGAGCCGCCCGAGGTACGTCGTGCGCCAGTGCCGCACGGCGTAGCCCGTGAAGTAGGCGAGCACGACGACGCCGAAGAGCGCCGCCGCGACGACGACGAAGGGCCGGCTCCGCGCGACGACGCGCGCGTCGGCCGCGGCGACGATGGCGTCGCGGTACGACCGGAGCGCGGCGGCGACGGCGCGGCGCGGCGACTTCGCCGGTGGCGGCTTGGCCACTGGCGCCGCCGGCGGCGCCGACGCGGGCTCCGCCGGCGCCGCGGCGACGGGCTCTGCCGCCGGCGCCGCGGCGACGGGCTCCGCCGCCGGCGCCGCGGCGACGGGCTCCGCCGGCGCCTCCTCCTCGAAGAAGACGTCGGAGAGTTTCACGCCCCCCCGGCCGCCGCCGACGCGGCCCACGACGAGCCGGCCGCCGTCGACGGCGACGGCGAAGCCCGGGTGGATCGCGAAGGTCGCCCCGGGGCGGCGGGGCTCGCGCCGCGGCTCCACAGGAGGCGCCGCACCTTGCGCGCGCGCGCCGCGCGGAGCCGCCGCCAGTGCTGGAGCCAGTCCGCGTCCCGCCCCGTCGCCACCGCGACGAGGATCGCGAGGTGGAGCCCGACGGCGACGGCGCCCGTGATCGGGTTCACGACCAGGAAGAAGCGGTCCTCGTAGGAGCCCGCGAAGTCGTCGTAGCGCCGGACGGACACGTACGTGAAGAGGCCGAGGCCGACGACGCTGAAGGCGGACCACGAGAGCGGCGCGCCGGGCACGTTGCCCGCGCTGACGGCCTGGAAGGCGAGGCCCGTCGGGAAGCACACGAGCACGTAGGCGACGACGTTCGTCCAGGCGCCGTCGTCGAGCGCCGCGGGCATTCGAGCGTCGAGGTAGGGCCGGAGCGTCGGCACGGCGAACGTGAGCACGAACTGGAGGAAGACCATGAGCGTGAGGAGCGGGATGGCCGTACACCGAGAGTGGCCGCCGAGGAGGTCGTTGCCGAGGAAGCGGCTCGCGACGCGGCCGCGGGCGCACCCGCTCGCGTCGACGGCGCCGGCGAAGCTCTCGCGCGGCGCCGGCGCGTCGTCGGCGGGCGGCGCCGGCGCGTCGTCATGCGCATCGGACGCGCGCGGCGCGGTCTGCTCCGAGCTGGAAGCCGGGGCAGCCCGAGCCATAAGTACTGAGATCCCAGAAACCAGGTCAACGAGCCGCGTTGATCAGGTGATTGCAGTTTCGTGTTCGCGAGGCCAGCAAGGCTGCCGAATGTATATGCCGAGCGGGCTCCGAAGCATGGACGATGCCGAGCGAGCAGCGATTCTGGCGCGGCTGCGGCGGACGCGCGAGCGCGTGGCCTGCGTCGAGGCGGCGCAGACCCGCCCGCGCGCCCGCGACGCGCCGGCGCCGCCGCTGCCGGCGCCGCCGCCCCATCCCGAGCGGCGCGTCCTGGCGCCCGCGTCGGAGGAGCCCTACGCGGCCGCCGAGGGCGACCGCGTCATCGTCATCGCCACGAGCCGCCCGGGCGTCGTGAGGCAGGTGACGGCCAACGGCTGGGTCAAGGTCTTCATGGACGAGTGCGACGGCGACGACGACGTCGAGAGCTACCGCGTGGCGCAGCTGAGGCCCGAGGCCGCGCCGGACGAGGTCACGTGCGGCGCCGCGCCCCCCCTCGAGTCGCCGGCGGCCAAGGCGGCGCGCCTCGAGGCCGAGCTCGCGCGCAAGGACGGCGTCCTCGTCGACCTGAGGTCCGCGCTCGCGGCCGCGCGCGCCGAGCTCGAGCGCAAGGCCGCGGCGACGGAGGCCCGCGTCGCGGCGCTCGAGAGCCGCGTCGAGGCCGAGCGCGAGCTCGAGCGGTCCGTCCGCGCGGCCGTCGACGAGGCGGCCGCGTCGTCCGACGCGGCGCGGCGCCTCGAGGCCGAGCTCGCGGGCGCGCTCGGCGCCGCGCGCTCCGCGGAGCGCCGGGCGGAAGCCCTCGAGGCGCGCCTCGTCGCGGGCGGCGTCCCGCGACGATCTTCGAGAGCCTTCGACCGGGAAAACGTGACCGACGCATCTTCGTAGGTCGCGGAGCGCCAGCAGCGCAACGTGCTCCGCCTCGACGTGCCGACGCTGACGGACGCGGCGCTCACGGGCGCGCTCCGGCGGCTGCCCGCGCTCCTCTCGGAGGTCCACGACGAGCGCGCGCGGCGGAGCGCCGCGCGCGACGCGACGTCCGCGGCCAACGCCGCCGTCTGCATCGTCTGCCTCTCGGCGCCGCGCGCCGTCGTCTTCGGCTGCGACCACTTCGTCGCCTGCGCGCGCTGCGCGGCCGCCGTCGACGAGTGCCCGGTCTGCCGCGCGGCCGTCGTCGACCGCCGCGCAGTCTACACCTAGGGCTATGTTCGGGGCCGGACTCGGAGTTACACGAGCTCGTTCTCCCCCCGCGGCGCGAAGGAGTACTCCGTCGTGATGGGGCCGTCGGCCGCGTCGTCGCGTCGGCCGAGGCAGCAGCAGAGCGCGTCGAGGCAGCCGGCGACGGACTCGGAGAAGACGCGCGCGTGCTGCGGCCGCCGGTGGCGCGCGTACTGCCAGTAGGCGAGGCCCGCGAGCAGCGCGCCGACGACGACGCCGGCGAGCGCGAGCGCGGCGGCGGCGACGGCGCGGAGCGGCGCCGCGTAGGCCGCCGCGCGGGGCCCGCGCGTGGGCTCGCCGACGTAGCCGAGGTCGCGCGTCGTCCGCGGCGACACCTGGAACGTGCCGTAGGCAAAGGTCACGACGCCGACGAGCTCGCGGAGCTCGCGGCCCTCGAGGCCGAGCGTGTTCCACCGGAGCTGGAGCTCCGCGTCCGTGTCCAAGATGCGGTCGTCGAGGCGCGCGACGCCCGAGCCGTCGTCGATGGCGACCATGCCCGTGACGGGGTCCGCGTCGGAGGCGAGGACGACGTCCCGGAGCCGCACGAGGACGCCCTCGAGGGCCTCGGGGTAGCCCTCCGGCGCGCCGTCGCCGCCGCACGCGAGCCAGCCCGTCTTCGCGTCCAACGGCGCGACGTCGACGTCCGGCACGCCGCCCAGCGGCCGCGCGGCGACGAGGCGCGCGAGGCGCGTCATGCCCTCGAACTCCTCGGCCGTGCCCGCGAGCTTGATGGCCGCGCCGACGCGGAGGAAGTCCGGCGCCGGTGCCTCGCCGAGCGACACGGCGACGCCCTCCCAGGGCCGCGCCGCGGCGCCCTGCTGGAGGAAGAACTCGCCCCGGCCGACGGCGGAGACGTAGCCCCGCGTCGCGACCTCGCGGAGCACGTAGGGCGAGTTGTCGCCGACGTCGCTCGCGCCATCGCACGCGTCGTCGAGGTCGCCCGCGGGCCGCTGCACGGCGCGGATGTCGACCTCGGCGAGGCCCGAGCCCACGGGCGGAGAGCCGGCGGCGACGTCGCCGGGCCGCCGGGGCAGGAGCTCGTAGCGGCCCGCGACCATGACGACGACGCCGACGACGGCGTCGACCGTCGCGCCGCGGACGTTGTCGACGGCCCACGCGTCGTCGTCGTCGCCGCCGCCCGCGGCCCACTGGGCCCGGAGCTCGCCGAGCACGGAGCCGCCGCCGCCGAGGAAGCCGTCGTTGAGCACCGCGGGGCCCGTGCCGTCGTCGAGGATCATCGCGCCGCCCGCGTCCGGGTCCGCGAGGATCTCCGCGCCCGCGGCGCGCACGAGGCAGCCCTCCCAGCGCTCCCGCTCGCACTCGCCGACGTTCGCGGAGATGGCCTCCGTGGTCACGTCCGCGGGCACGACGGCGGCGACGCCGAGGTCCGCGTGGACGACGACGGACGTGACGTCGACGACGCGCGTCTCGCCGCCGACCTCCATCATGCGGCCCTTGACGGAGACGCGCATGCCCTCGCCCAGCGTGTCCGGCGCGAGGCGCGGCGCGTCGACGACGACGCCGGACCAGGCCGCGACCTCGGCGGCGTCCGTGACGGCGAAGCGCCCGAAGGCCACGGCCGTCACGTAGACCTTCTCGAGGGCCACGTGCCTTCCGAGATAGGGGCTCCAGTCGTTGTCGCAGGGGTGCTCGACGAACTGGAGGTCGCGGACGCTGACGACGACGTCGCCCCCCGACGCGCCCCCGAGGCACGCCAGCGCGACGAACGACCACGGAGTCATCATCGTCTCCAAGTGGGGCAACTTGGGGCTGCATCTGCAAGTTGAGGATATGCCTGGGGTTTCATGCATCGGGCTGCCAAGTTCGGTCATGTCTCTCTAATATTAGCTATGCGCGCGCTGCTCCTGGGGCTCCTCGCGGCGGCCACGGGCGTCACGCACGACGAGGCGCGCTGCATCCTCAAGGACCAGCGCGTCGCCTTCTTCGGCGACAGCCTGAGCCGCTACTGCTTCTTCGGCATGAACGTCTGGCTCGAGACGGGCGCGCTGCGGGCCGAGGAGTTCGCGGGCAAGTGGGGCGTCGAGGGCTACGACTACGACTGCTGCCAGGGGCAGCAATGGACCGACGACGAGCAGGACTGCGACGCGGGCTCCGGCCACCGCATGTACCTCTACAAGGATTTCGACGACATCAACGCGCGGACGTCGTTCTACTTCATCGCGTCGGTCTGGTTCGACGACCTGGCGGACCTCGCGGACACGCTCGAGGCGGACACGATCGTCTACAACCAGGGCTGGTGGCAGCTCAAGGACTGCCGGGGCACGTACTGCGGCGACGACTTCGACGACGAGTGCGAGGACACGTACCGCGAGGACCTGGGCAGGAAAAGGGTGATTCAACGTCGCTTCAACGTGAGTGTTCCGCGCGCGCGCGTTCCATAAAAAACATCCACGCATCGAGAGCGCTCCGAGGGATGATCGCTCGTCCCAAAATCAGCCGAAACGAGTGGAAAATGACCGAGATAGGAGCCTTTGAAGTTGGGAATTTCGCACCCTTTTCCCGCCCAGGCGAGGACCTGGGCCAAGTCATCGACCACCTTTTCTCCCGGGCGACGACGGCCGTCTACCGCACGACGGCCTGCTGCGGCGAGGAGGACGACGACTGGATCGATGGCATCGAGGCGCAGAACGCGGTCGCCAAGGACGTCATGGGCGCCGCGGGCGTGCCTGTCGCGGACGTCCACGGCTTCTACGGCTGGGACGACCTCGACGCGGCGACCTTCGACGGCTTCCACGCCAACGTCGCCACGTGCCCCCTCTGGTACGACCTCATCCTCGAGCGCATCGACGCCGCGCGCGGCACGAACTGCATCGGCAACTCCGACGGCTGGAGCTACTACGACCCGACGCGGGCGCCGACGACGGCCTACGCGCCGACGCCGCGGCCAACGCCGGACCCGCCGGCGCCGACGGCGGCCTGGTGGGACTTCGACACCTGGCCCGCGCCCACGGCGCCGCCGTCCGCCGCGCCGCCCGCGCCCTCCGCCGCGCCGCCCGCGCCGACGGCCGCGCCGCCCGCGCCCTCCGCCGCGCCGCCCGCGCCCTCCGCCGCGCCGCCCGCGCCGACGGCCGCGCCGCCCGCGCCGACGGCCGCGCCGCCCGCGCCCTCCGCCGCGCCGCCTTGCCGACGGCCGCGCCGCCCGCGCCCTCCGCCGCGCCGCCTTTGCCGACGGCCGCGCCGCCCGAGCCGACGGCCGCGGCAGTGCAAACTCCGACCGCCGCGCAAGCGTCAGTGGCGCAGCCCGCCCCGACGGCCGCCGCGCAATCAACTCCTACGGCTGCGCAACCCGCACCGACCGCCGCGCCGCCGGCACCCTCGGCCGCCGCGCTTCTGGCTCCGACCGCCGGGCAAGCGTCGGCGGCGGAGCCTGCGCCGACAGCCGCCGCGCTTGCACCTCCGACCGCCGGGCAAGCGTCTGCGGCGGAGCCCGCGACGACCGCCGCGCAAGCGTCGGCGGC